TGAGTAACCAAGGACGGGCTGTGCCTGGTGCTGAAGCTTTCTGCTGTGACCATAATTTTTACTTCTTTGCCTGCCTTTACTGTATCCTTTTTTAATTTACAGGAGTCTTGTAAGAAACAGTCATTAAAGTTTATTCCTGTGTCCAATGTGGTTTTGCTATAATAATGCCAAAGTCCTGAGGAGGAGCATGTTGCCAATTAAATCATTATTCTCTAGCGCTTTAGCCCTGTGCAAAGCTCCACGGTTCAGGGGGAAGAGGTTTCATACACTTAAAATACACATCGCTGAGCTTGAGTTTGGCCCTCTGGTTGCTCAAAAGTTCAGAATGTATCTGATCAGGTAGAAATAGTGTTCAGGGATCTTTTACTGTAAACCCTGTTTGAAATAATCACAGCTGATATAGCTTATAGGAAGCCTTAGCACAGATGCTCTATGTTATATAATATTATGTTCCAGTATAATTTTCCAACTAAGGAAAGACTGTTTTCGTTTTTGTGAGATTGTGTGTTTAGGGTTCACAGCACTTCAAGCCATCAGATCACACGCTTTGCCTGTGAAATCCCACTGAAGATCGAAGAGCCTGTGCCAGAAGCCCAGGCATCTGAGCAGCAGGAGGGAAGTCAGGGGCTGCTGAATGTTACGAGCTGAAAACGTCGCCGAATCAGATGCTTCCATGTAAAGGCTGATGCTGTTCTGTTGGGGCAAAGCAGGGCCCACCTGTCCCACTGCTCCCGGGTGGTTCTGGAACAAACGCTGCGGAAGGCTGCGCCTTCCCGGCAGACAGCCTCCTACCCCTGCAGAGATCGGCCCTGCATTTCAGCCCTCAGCGCGAGGAGACACCGCAAAGGGGAGGCGGCTGCATTAGCTGATTCTCTTTCGCGGGGGAAAGAGCTGGACCGGTGTCTTCCTCCAGGCCTCCCAGTTCGGGGGCCGCAGAGATGTGCTTGTGAAATGGGAGCAGCACTTCCTCGCGGGGCTGCTGGGAAGGGAGAACAAGGCACGTGGGCTGAGTCCATCGCTCCGTCTCTGCAGAGGCTGATAAAGCCTGGGAAGAAAGGGAAGTAGATTTTAAAGTTTATAACTTGCCATTTGCAACAACAGACAGAGAGCAGTGAGAGGAGAATCCAAAGGATAAACACCCCTGAGGTCTTTTGTTTTTAGATTCCACATGTAAGTGAGATCATAACAGCGTTAGTCTTTCTCTGTCTGACTTATTTCACTTAGCATAATACCCTCTAGGTCCATCCATGTTGTCATAAATGGCAGGATTTCCTTCCTTTTTACGGATGAATAATATTCCATTGTGTGTATAGTTACATATATATAAATATAAATAAATAAATAAATACATATATAATTTCACATCTTTTTTATCCATTCATCCCTCAGTGGACACATAGGTTGTTTCCATGTCTTGGCTACTGTGAATAATGCTGCAATGATCATGGGGCCCATGAGGTTTTATAGATTTCTCTTTTTATCCGGAAAATTTGTAGTTGCCTTGGAAAAAGTCCCTGCCTTCGTGGAGCTTCTGTGCTAATGGAAGCAGGCTAACAGCAAACTCTTAAACAAATACATATATGAGACAATTTCCCACCATGATAAGTGCTGAAAAGCAAACAGGGTGACAGAATAAGAGTGGCAGAGGTGGCCGCTGGCTCCGTTCTTTGGGGCAGGTGGTTAGGGAGGGGCCCTTTAGGAAAAGGTCGCAGCTCAGATCATGGGGCAGGTGTTGTAGGAAGCCCTGAAGGGGCCCAGGCAGCAGCGGGCAGCTGAGGAGGGCAACCTGTGGGGCCTCCCTGGTGGTGCAGTGGGTAAAATCTGTGGTCCCAGTGCAGGGGGCCTGGGTTTGAGCCCTGGTCAGGGAACTAGATCCCACATGCATGCCGCAACAAAGGAGCCCTCGAGCCTCAACTGAGGAGCCCACCTGCCACAACTAAGACCCAGTGCAAACAAATAAATAAGTAAATAAATAAATATTTTTTAAAAATGTGGCTTGTGATCCTGAAGCAGAAACATGTATTTTTTTAGTTTTGCTATGAGCATCATTGAGACAATTGATGAAATCTGAATGTCTGTAGATTGGGTAACAGTATTAATTAAAAAAAAAAAAAATTTATGTTTTTTGGCCATGCCACCACGCGGCATGCGGGATCTTAGTTCCCCAACCAGGGATCGAACCTGTGCCCTCTGCAGTGGAAGCATGATTCTTAACCACTGGACAGCCAGGGAAATCCCTTAATTTTTCGATCGTTATGAAATTATTCTGTGGTTATTATATAAAGTAAGGTTACTGGTTTTAGGATCTACATGGTTTTTAGGAAGTATTTATAAGTAAAGGGGCATCCTGTCTATAACTTAGTCTCAAATAATTATAAAAACTATAGATAATGATAAAAGCAGGTTCGAGGAAATGTAACAAATGAATTTGAAAGGTAAATGGGAATTTTACTAACCTTACAACTTTTTCGTAAGCCTGAAACTTATTTCAAAAAGTTTTAAAAATTAAATTGCAGAGGCGTTTTAAGAAATGACCTCAAATTTAATAAGTAACAGCACTTTCTGAAACTAAACATTTCCTAACCTTGTGCTAAGAGTGAGTCATTACCTTCTAGGTTTCTTCATTCTTGCTGGTGTTTTGACTCCTCGGGTGGAGTTGGTTATATTTATGATGGATACTGGGAGTACAATGGCTTGTGTATGTGTGTAAATCAAGTAAGGCTGTTCCAACTAGCAAGTCTGGGTATCTTTCAGGGTCAAAATTGGAGGGAAAAATTCAAATGCAATTACATCATACTGTAACATTTAAAACACATATTTGAGGAATTGAGCTGAATTGTATTGTCCTCATAAGAAAAACCTACATTCTACTTATTTTGTTCACAGGAACGTGGTCAGGCACTGGCCACGTGCCAGTCGTAAGCACTGAAGATTGGGAGGAAGACGAGCCAGGATCTGGCCTGGGCAGCCCACATCTGTGCCAACAAACCACCCTCTACAAACGGAAAGGTGCCGTCTTTCCTGCCCCGATACTCCTGAGGGTAAGTGCGGAGGCTCGGCCTCCAAGGGCAGAGCTCTCCCGTGACTCACCCTCTTCCTCTCCTGCTCCGCTGCCTACAGACACCCAACAGGCATCCGTCGGCTGTGCCCTGACAGGATGAGCCCCTCCTGGCTCTTGGAGCCCCCTAGACCACGTCGCAATTACACAAGTGACAGGAAATGTGCCCAACTGAATAAGTTTAGATCCACCATAACGGAAGCCTCATTATGTTCATTCGACTCAGATTCCCGTAAAATCAAACTTTATTTGCAGCCGTAAGTTCCATGTTGGTATTGAATTACAAGGTTTAGAAAAATATCACTACTGTGTTACCTCAGGGGGAAAGCATCTTAGTCAACAGATAGGAGCGCCCCAGAAGGTTTGGGTACTGAGCACACTCGTCACTTAACTTCCTATGTTCTAGCCATGACTGCAGGCGGAGGGTTCACTTTGGTGAAAGCCTGTCTTTATTTCCTGTATCACTCGTCTATGATCTACAGAACTGTGTAAAGGAAGCAGCTCCAGAACCTGATGGCAGCAATGCCGTTTGTTTTTGGTTTTTTTTAGTATTTACTTATTTTGGCCACGCCAGGTCTTAGTTGCGACACGCGGGATCTTTGTTTGCCGTGTGTGGGAATCTTCAGTTGCGGCATGCATGTGGGATCCAATTCCCCAAACAGGGATTGAACCCAGGCCCCCTGCACTGAGAACCTGGGAGTCTTAGCCACTGGACCACCTGGGAAGTCTGCAGCAGTGCTCTTTCACTTAGCTTGTAATTGTGCAAGAAGGCACTCTTGTGACCTTACTCAGAATGCAGTTTAGGGGGAAGGTCAGCTCTCGCCGTGGCCCCGGGACATTTCCCAGTTGGTTCAGGGAACTTGGCTTCACAACGCCCTGCACACTGTGGGCCCCGGTGTAGTGTGTGCTGTCCACAGCTCGTCAGTGGCCTGAGAACCAGCCACCTCGAGCAACTCGGGCTGGGAACCGCTCAGCACATGGCCTCAGACTCCTCTCCCCGACCGTCTCCTTTTCATTTCAGACTTGTCTCTCACACCCTCTGGTGATGCCCCAGCCTGACTGCCGCTGAGGCACCGTGACCCCCAGGACAGAATGGGGACCGCCAGAGCTGCTCAGATGACCTCTGAACCCCATGCCCACATTAGCATTTTAAGGCTGTTCAAACACTGTTAGATCTATCACTTTCCATGAATGCTTTGATAGTGAATGTTGATTCTAAAAAAGGCCAAACTCATGGAGACTTGAATGTTCCAGGGATTACTTGTTACCATAGTTATCTCCACCTGAGATTTCAGCCTGTGGTGGTTTTATGAGAATGACTGCTAGAATTGAAATAATTTTTAAATAAGATGAAATGTATTGTATCTTAGTGAGTTTATGATGTCATGAATTTCCATGAAAGCAGTGATTAAAGCTTTTTTCTTAATGAAAAATAATGCCTGATAACCAAGTATTACTTATTCTATCATTTATTGAGGAAAAAGTTTTACATATTAGGGTGAAGCAGTGACATGGAACCCCATCATTTCCAGCCTCATGTAGCCAAGAGAACAAGCCTTGAGGACTCAGTGGGGACAGCGCTGGCCGTGCACCTCCCCACAGGAGGGATGGGAACACCCGAGCATCTCCAACGGCCACGACAAAGTCCAGCACAAAACCATGACCCAGACCGCTGTCTCCAGAGAAGATCGCACCCTGCTGTCTGTGCCTACACACAGCTCAAAGCTGGCGCTAAAGAAACGGCACTTGAAGAAAACAGTCGTACTATATCCCCCTCATAAACTGGCACAGTGCTCTTTACTTAAAATGTTAAAAAGATGAACATACACGCTTTACTAGAAAACTGAACCCAGGTTAGAAAATTTTTATGCAGCCAAGTAATGACTTTGAGGCTCTTTCTCCCGCCGGCGGCGGGGCGGTGACCGGCGCTGCTTGTGGGGCTTCAGAGCAGGCGCACCGTCTTCCCAGTTACCGTCAAGAAGTCATCATCCGCCAAGGCACGCAGCGCTTCTTCAAACATATCCTTGGTAACTGCCTTTGGGGAAGAGACGAGAAAAAGAAATGGACACGTGGAGCGGCCCTCCCCACTTAGAGACACAATGGCTTCCAAGTTAAAGAACCACTGGAGTCTCCTTCCTTCCTGTTGGCTGTACACACGTCTTAACGCTCCATCTTGGGAGTGGCAAACGTTTCCTGCCAAGGGCCAGGAAGGGAGGGTGTTAGGGCAGCAGGCAAGACTGGACCTGACCAGCAGAGCTCTTGCCATGAACTCAGCTTTCCTTGTAACAGCAGGAGACTGCAAATGCTCTAAGTGCCCACCAAATGGTTAAGTGACTGATGGGGGAGGCATGAGGTAAAGTGCCTAAGTCATGAAGCAGATTCTGCTTCACAGACGAAGCTAAGAGTACTAACTGACACGGCTCAAAACCATGCATCCACATCCACACAGAAAACTGAAAGCCCAACAAAATTCTCATCGCAATCATTCCCTGATGGTGGGTGGTGATCTCACTTCTCTTCTCTATCTGTAACTACTCAAACAATTTATTACTTAAGCTACAAACGAAGGAAAAAAATTAGAAAAAAACTTTAAAGCAGCATCAAGGGAAAAGAAAACTCTATTAAACAAAATATCCACATAAACACTTACTATATCAGACTGTCCCCGAATATCTTCAAAAAGTTGCTGGTATTTCAGGGCTGGCGTTCTGCCCTTGGATAAAATAAGCTTTTTCAAAGCTTCAGCTAACTCTTCCTTCCGTTTACGTGAGGTGGCACTCATTCCTGATTTAAAAGAAATTAGTGAAGACGTTTTTGCTCTAAGGAAGCAAAAGTGTTTCAAACTTCCATTAATATTTCTTTAGTCATAAATCAACTATACTCTTTAAAAAAAAAAAAACTGTTTAGTCATGTCACCAAATAAGGTTAGGGGACAGTCGGAGCAAGTTCTGAATTCTGTTCCCAGTTTCTGAAGAGCTTATTTATAGCTGCTCCTTTCCACTGAGACAGTCCAGGCAACACTCACAAAAGCGAGCTGCGCTCACTGGGGAAGAACGGCTCCTCCAGGGGCGTGGTGCCCGGAGGGCGGGCAGGACAGGACTAGGTCATGTGCGCCAACATCCACCTCCTCAGCACCCCCGTCACGTGCTCAGAGGGCCCGCACAGCCCCACCTGTGGTGAGGATGGAGATGTCCACGATGCCCGTCCGTGGGTCGGTTGCCGACTGCTTCAGGGCCTCCCGGTGCAGGCGCTTGGCCTCCTCGACGTCAATCGCCTCCACCTTGCTGGAAAACCGCACCTTGGCGTGGGCTTCGGCCAAGCGGGTCAGCGACTCCAGCTGTCGGGGGTACGCGGACACCATCCCTCGGCTACTGCCCACCTTCCTCATGTCCACGTAAGCCTGGCGAGACAGGGGACACGCCAACTCCTCACACGATGACCTGAGGGTCGTGCCTGGACTCTGGCCAGTCGGGGTCCTGTTAAATAACCCCCTGGGCAGAGTAGGTCCTGAGGGGAGCAAGAGCGGGTGCAGCCTTGGGCCTCGAGCCTCGTCTGGGGGAGGCGTGGGTGCAGCTTCAGGACGGGACCGGGCAGCAAGGGTGTGCAAAGCCCGGCACCCAGAGGACACGGCGTTGGGAAGGGCAGGTGAGGACTCTGGTCTGTTTGTTTACACCCCTGCGAGGAGCAGGCCAAGGATTAGTGGGGCAACACGCAGGAGGTTAATTGTCTAAACCCATACATGGATGACGTTAACTCCTTCAAGATGACAGAGACAGAAAACGGCGTTATAACTTGTAACTTTCACTTGAGCATCTTCAGGGCTTTGTCAGGATTTAAAGCCCATCAAAGCACCAGGAACCTTCTTAGTGTCACAATGTCTACTGGGTATGTGTCAGCACGCACTGCTGCCCACCTAAAAGGTACTAAGAAGTGTACGTAAAATACTTAACTTTTTAGAAACGAGCAAATGCAGCCCAGAGACCAGAATTACAAAGTCACTAAGTAGCATCACCTATATTTCAACTCAGGTATCCTGGTCTTAAATACACTGTGCTTACAAGTATTTGAATATAGAAAGAGT